CTGCTTAATCGTTTCATTGGTAGCGGTGTTATGAGTAGAAATTTAAATATACTAAGTGACATATAAATCCGAACACCCAGTTTAAATGGTATTATTTTAATAAAAGTTGGTGAATGTATTTATCTTACTGTAAATAACAAGTGAAAAAATGTTCAGCCTTATCAGTTGGACATTCCGGTTTTTATACTGCTTTTTTTTAATTCACTCGCTCTAAAAATGAATATTTCAGCCGCAGGACGGATTTTGGTTCTTGACATCCTTTACGATCGGTTACGATGCCTAGAGTACGGAGACCTGTACGATTTCGTCAACTTAGTGAGTTTGATAGGGGCCGTATAGTGGGACTTCGGGCAGCTGGACTTCCTTTTCGGGCAATTGCAGTTAGAGTGCAAAGAAGTGTAGACACTGTGGTTAGGTGTTGTCAGGCATGGCATCGAGAAGGCCGTACGCAAAGAGCAAGGGGCACTGGACGCCGCCGTAGAACAACAGACCGTGAAAATCGCCGCCTAAGATTATTGGCCTTAAGAGACCGTTTCTCCACTACCAGGTCCATTGCAAATGAATGGTTTGCAGAACACGGAAGACCTATTGGCATGCGAAGTATGTACCAACGAATGAGAAGTTTTGGCTTGTTTTCATCCGGCCTCACTGGGTCCTCCCTTTAACTCGAGAACACCGACGTAATTGCCTTGAGTGGTGCAGACAACGGTCACTCTGGGATCAGGAATGGAAGAGTATTGTCTTTAGTGACGAGTTTCGATTTTGTTTAGGCATGCACGATGGTCGTGCCAGGGTTAGAAGGCGACGTGGTAAAAGGAGGAATCCACAGTTTTTTGTTGAAAGACATGTTCATCACACTGTTGGAGTTATGGCTTGGGGTGCTATAGCTTATGGTTCCAGGTCACCTTTAATCTTCATCAGAGGTAACATGAACGCGCAGCGGTATATCCACAAAGTTCTAGAACCCCATCTTTTACTCTATCTTGACACCCTGGCAGATCCAACTTTCCAACAAGATAATGCCCGACCACATGTTGCAAGAGTCACAATAGACTTCTTTCAACATAATGATGTCACATTGTTACCATGGCCACCAAGATCTCCCGACTTATCCCCAATTGAGCACGTGTGGGATATGATGGGTAGGAGATTGCTCAATTTGCAACGTCCTCCTCAGACTCTAGAAGCACTTCGAGAGGAGTTGGTGGTTGCCTGGAATGAGATACCACTGGAGGACATTGACCACCTGATCAGAAGCATGCCTAGGCGCGTTGGAGAATGCGTAGCACATCAGGGTGCATCCACACATTATTAAAGGTCAAAGGGCTTTAAAGCAGTGCAATCATTTTGAAATTTTTATCATTTACTTATTATGCTTCATTAAGTACTTATACAAAATTTTATTAAAATAAAACCATTTAAACTGGGTGTTCGGATTTATATGTCATTTAGTATATCTTTAAAGTCGTGCCAACCCCTGAGGCGTGAAGAAGTGACTTCTGTCAAGTTCCTTAGCATCATACCACTATAACGGTAATTTGGAAAAAGATGTATTCAAAATACAACCGATGATCCATCTTTCATTAATGTTTAGTGACTGACGCATGAACACCTAGTTCAAATGCCAAAAAAAGATCGTTTCACAGTTTGTTTTAGAATGTTTTACAACTTTCTGAGCTTTTTTAAAGGGTAATCAAACAGAGGGTAACAATTTTGAAAAATTACTTTGATTGTTTCTGGTTGCTTCAACTTAGGGCGAATTCAAAAACGCTATGGAGTTCAAACTTTCAGTTTCTTGAGCAAAAGGCTTATCTTGACTCGCGGCAAATTTGGACATTGGCATAGGTGAACGCTTGGAATGCCCTAGCCACTATTTTTTTATATCGGAAAACGATTTTAGTGTTTCAAATTTTCTGCTAAAATAAGTCAATTACATTTAATTCCGACAAAGCTTCTTTCTGCTGCTGCATTTATAAACTGGAGGGTTAAAAATAGGAAGCATGCTACTATCAGCCGGCCGTGCAATCTAAGCTTGACTATTTTTCTCGTCTTAAGTTCTAACAATCACAAACGCGCAATTTTGAATTACAAATTGGAAAAAATGTATGACAGCAGTTCTGTCGAGTTTACCCGCGGCAAATCTTGACAGCTGTTGTCACCGAAAATTCCAATACCTTTGATAACAGGTAATTATGGTCTCCTAGGAGACCAGAAAGCGACGCTAAACATTTTTCTGATTCATTTTCAATAAATTTTGTTATATTGTTTTTAAACAGTGCTAGTCAGATTATGTAGTGAAAATGAGTCGCTTTGGAAGTGATTCTTTGACTAATATTGATCTGGTAATTGAGAAAAGTGTAGTACAATACTGTTAAAAGCCATACGTCAATATGGAAACAGTTTAAGGATTTCTGCAAGGCAAAGAAATACGAGCTTTTAGAAACTGCAAGTTTAGAGCAACTGAATCGTGAAAGATTGGGCGTGGAATGTGAAAAAAGAAAACGGTGAAAATTACAAAAAACCAGTTGTGAAGACAATGTCAAATACCGTTGCAAAAAAATGCAAGTGATGGATGTTATGAAGTGAAAAATAATTTTTGATCCATTTGAAGATATGTTTTTCAAGTCTAGTACGGAAGCTCGTAATGGAAGCATCTATTTTTTTCCTGTGAAAAAAATCGAAAAAGCAATGCAAAGTAATCAAGCCTTTGTCTCCGACTTTTGTTTAGCAACGTGTTTTTTCCATCTTTTTTTCGGAAAAATTGCCCTTACGAGTATTATATTACTTAGAATTTTTTATTCAGCGTACAGCCTAAAAACTTGCGTGAGATCATGAAAAACATTTTATGTATTTCTTTCTGTTCGAGTGCCGTGAGGTAGACATCACACAACCTGTTATTGAGCATTTTGAACTCTTTACAATGCTTCATTTACTTGTGCGTGGAAACTAAATTGTATCAGTTTCCACCGAACCTCAAAAAATTCGGGAAGAGTTGTATTATATTTAAATAGTATTAAAAAAAGCCTGGAGTACTATAAAAGTTTTGCAAGATGACTTAACAAATATGGCATCGTGGTCACGTTGTGAGATAAGGGCAGCCTTACGGTATATCTTTACGCGAGGTTCAAGCATAGACCAGTGCTTAGAAAAAATGACGCCTGCATTAAAGAATGACGCTGAGAGGGAAAAAATACCGCGAACGTCAGTAACAGAGGAGATCATGATGCTGTGAAGAAAGTGCTTGACGAAGACCGGAAAGTGACATACCAACAGATAGAGCAGACCTTGCACCTTCATGCACCATCAATTCATTCAATTCTGCATGACCATTTACACGTAAGGAAACTTTGTTCTCTCTGGGTACCGCATAGTCTGACGGAAGAGCAGAAGACTCGTCGTACGACTTGTTGCCGAAAGATGCTGAAAATGTTTTATAGGAGACAATCTGAGTATGTGAACGGCATCGTGACAGGGACTGAACTTGGCTCTATTATTACGATGTGCCGACCAAGGCTCAAAACAAAGTTTGGGTCTTTGATGATGAGGACACACCCGCAGCTGTCAGAAAATCCCGATTTGTTAAGAAAAAAACGATAGCTGTATTTTTCAAATAGAACGCGATTGTGGAGCGCGTCGTTTTGGACACACAGGAGACAGTCACAGCTAAGTGGTACGCGGAACAGTGCCTGCCTAAAGTCATAGAGTATATGAAAAACCTGCGGCCAAAGTCAAGAATGGACACTCGGTACCTCCAGCATGACAACGCTCCAGCTCGCAGCGCCAAACTTTGTTCTCTCTGGGTACCGCGTAGTCAGACGGAAGAGCAGAAGACTCGTCGTACGACTTGGTGCCGAAAGATGCTGAAAATGTTTCATAGGAGACAATCTGAGTATGTGAACGGCATCGTGACAGCTGACGAGACTTGCCTCTATTATTACGATGTGCCGACCAAGGCTCAAAACAAAGTTTGGGTCTTTGATGATGTGGACACACCCGCAGCTGTCAGAAAATCCCGATTTGTTAAGAAAAAAACGATAGCTGTACTTTTCAAATAGAACGGGATTGTGGAGCGTGTCGTTTTGGACACACAGGAGACAGTCACAGCTAAGTGGTACGCGGAACAGTGCCTGCCTAAAGTCATAGAGTCCATGAAGAACCTGCGGCCAAAGTCAAGAATCGACACTTGGTACCTCCACCATGACAACGCTCCAGCTCGCAGCGCCAAACATTGTTCTCTCTGGGTACCGCGTAGTCAGACGGAAGAGCAGAAGACTCGTCGTACGACTTGGTGCCGAAAGATGCTGAAAATGTTTTATAGGAGACAATCTGAGCATGTGAACAGCATCGTGACAGCTGACGAAACTTGGCTCTATTATTACGATGTGCCGTCCAAGGCTCAAAACAAAGTTTGGGTCTTTGATGATGAAGACACACCCGCAGCAGTCAGAAAATCCCGATTTGTTAAGAAAATAACGATAGCTGTACTTTTCAAATAGAACGGGATTGTGGAGCGCGTCGTTTTGGACACACAGGAGACAGTCACAGCTAAGTGGTACACGGAACAGTGCCTGCCTAAAGTCATAGAGTCTATGAAAAACCTGCGGCCAAAGTCAAGAATGGACACTTGGTACCTCCACCATGACAACGCTCCAGCTCGCAGCGCCAAAGCCTGCCAACTACTGGACTCAAACTTATTGAGTATCCTCCTTACAGTCCAGATGCTGCTTCTAGCGACTTTGCACTGTTTCCGCATGTGAAATTGAAGCTAAAAGGAAAACGGTTCTCTAGCTGAGTACAACGATTGTGCGGCACTTCGGGGTGAAACTTGGCAGAGCTGGTTTAAGGACTGGTTTTGGCGGATGGAAAAGTGCATTACTTTGAACCAAGTCAATAAATGAAGCTGTATTGCAAAACTCGTATAGTACCCTTAGAGATTTTATCTATGCGCTCCGCATACAATAAAACTATGAAGTGGATTTCTCCTTTAAATGTGTCCACACCGTCTTGTCAAAATTTAAAAACCCGCGTGTTTCAGCAACGCGTCTCAATATACTCCGGAACAGTCCGTCCGGCAACGGGGATAGCATGCAACTCCGAAACTCGCGGGAAAGTCTCGTCGGCGTGCCGGCGTCGAAAAGCGCAACCACCGGGAAGCGTGGGAAGCGGGAAACAGCGCGGGATGCTGTACGCTCTGTTCAATGTTTCCCCGGCGCGTCGACGGGATACATAGGCCGATAGCGGCTGGCAACTGCCCGCGATCTCCAGATACCCACGAATTTCGGAGAGAACGCTCTCTCTCTCTCTGTCTCCCGCTCTATGTACCCTTCCTCCTCCCTCTCTTTGCGCCTGTACACAGCACATGGTTCTATGTTTCGTACCGGGTCCAATCGAGTCTGTACAGGATGCGGTTAGCTAGTCAACAACTGATGCAGTTCTCCATCTTTTGGGTTGATAAGAAGTGCTAATAACGTGAAGACTTTTATTTTTCAACATTCAAATTCGAATACATTTATTTGCCAGAAAAAGAATTATCACTGGACAACAAATTTTAGTTTTTTAATTGTATCTTGTGGCAAAAGTGCACTTCTTTGTTAATTTTGGGGCGCTGAATCCAATAATGACAATGGAATAAAAAAATTAGTTGCGGTTTAGAAAAAAACTTTTTATTTTTAAGGATATATTAAAAAAAGTAACAAGATTCATATACTTATAAGAATCACTATATGCGCTGTCTTTTTGTTGTTCTTTTATGGATCGTTTCTGGAGCATCTCTACCAAGAGTCCAACAGTAGTCTGCAAGCATGGAAGGATTCCACTTTCCCTGGTACCTTCTTTCCATTGTTGAAATATCCTGATGAAAACGTTCGCCGTGCTCATCACTTACGGCTCCGCAATTGTCAGGAAAAAAGTCCAGGTGTGAGTGTAGGAAATGTATCTTAAGAGACATATTACAGCCCATCTTTTGATACGATGACGGCATATTTTTGACAAGGGTTTTATAGTTGTCAGCTTTTCTATTTCCCAAGAAATTAGTGACCACCAGACGGAAATCATTCCAAGCAGTTTTTTCAATACCTGTTAAAGTGTTTTCAAACTGTGTATCTTTCAAAATATTTCGAATCTGTGGCCCAACAAAAATACCTTCTTTAACCTTTGCCTCACTTAGTCTTGGAAATTTCTGACGCAGGTATTGAAAAGCTGACCCATCTCAATCTAATGCCTTGACAAAGTTTTTCATTAGGCCCAACTTGATATGCAGTGGTGGTAATAAATTTTTTTTCGAATCTACTAATGGCATATGCTGTACATTTTTTTGACCTGGCTCTCGGAATTGACGAACAATGTTACTGCCGCCAGTAAGCCGTTAATGTTACTGCAGAAAACCAAGTTATTCTCCATATTGAAAAATGGTTCTAAGTCTTTGTGGCGTTTACGAAAAACACATACCGAAACATCGTCTTCTAACAAGTTCCACTGCTGCAGTCTTGATCCAAGTAACTCTGCCTTACATTTTGGAAGTTCTAAATCTCTTACAAGATCATTTAATTCTGACTGTGTTATTTTGTGCGGTTGGTGGCATGACATGCTCGGTATAAAATCAGGATCTCTTGACGTTGATAGCATATCTTCTTCCTGACGAATCACTCGATCGCCATGATCTGATTCGTTTTCTGATTCGCAAGCGTAGGATTCTGGGGGTTTTGGAATAGAATTTCGTCACTGTGAGGCACAGGTCTCATCGCAGATGGTATGTTTGGGTAGTTAATAACCGATTTTTTTTTCTTGGACATACCTGTGGCTTGTCCAACACAAGGTACCATGCAAAAGTAACAATCATTAATATGATTTGTAGGCTCTCTCCAAACCATTGGGACAGCAAAGCGCATAGACCGTTTTTTGCCATTTAACCAGCTCCTCAGACTTGAAGCACATGTATTACAGCAGATGTGGGGTGCCCACTGTTTGTCTTGATCACCTAGTTTACAACCGAAATAAAGCTGATATGCCTTTGTTATTAGTGGAGTAATAGACCGTCTCTGAGACGCAAAACTCACATCGCCACACACGTAACAAAACTGATCTGGATTGTTTACACGCTTTCGAGACATCTTGCATGAACGCTGTCAGCCAACTGAGGAAAAAATGGCTAATATAAAACAATATAATGTACACGTATGTATAACGTAACACAATCATTCCGATTACATCATCTTTCCTTGCCGAATATAAAAATGTAGCACGTGCATTCTTGTGAATTACAGTATATTAACACTGTCACAGCAGGGACACATATAATTACCGTATCTCTAAAACTTGAACTAATATTAAAAAATAAGTTTCATTCCGGTTTTAGCACATTAAAAATAGTAATATTTTGTTGATTTTATTTAGGATATTTTTTGGCTGTTGATCAGTGAATTATTCTATCGTCTTATACAAATGATAATATTTTTGACAACAAGGACAGATTCTCGATCGCTAATGACCGTCAACACTCACATAAATAGAGTAGCTATGAAAATGCCATGTTTTACACTAATCTTACGCAAACTGCATTTCGTTGCATACGCATTATATCATGCAATATTTTGGAATTTAAATATCTTAGTTATTATAGGCATGAACCATTGATATCACAAAAAAAATATTTACACACTTAAAATGTCAACATCAAATGCTATGATGCTGGCCCACACTCCTATGGAATCTTTTATCTTTCTCGGTCAGCAATGGCGTACGCGTCTTCTTTGGAAATGTTTTCCAAAAGGTAATGGACTCTATTAAATTGATGTAACGAGTGATTTTTTAAGAGGTATAGGATTTGATTTTCAAAAAAAACACAAAAAATTTGAAAAAACGATTAAATCTTTATTTGAGTCGATAGAGCGATCGATATAATTTAATGTTTAAAGATTATTTCATGTAAATGTTAACCGAGCATGAATTTTGATAGTAAAATTCAACAATTTGCAAGCGTTGTTCGTTCGTAAGTCGATTCATGGTTAAATTATAGACCAAACTGAACAAGTTTGACAATGACACAAAACACGATTCACGCGTCATCTGTCAAAAACAGTGTTGCCAAAAAGATACTAGCAAAAAATCACGAAAAACATAGGTGGTCTTTCTGTCCGGTAATAATGTAATAAGCCTATTTTCTTGCCAGATACGCAAAAGCTGTGAGACTTTTGAAAGTAACTCCAGTAGAATTTTAAACTGACGCTTATTTTTTCGTATATCTAAAATTTCAAGTAGCAGGATGTACCGAATCTCCAAATTTTCTGTTCCGGTCGCTAGCACATCACTAAGCTGCCCAAATCAAGTCTGATGAAGATTTATTTAGAAATCAAAGACAAAGCAAACGTACACTTGCAAAGGCACATACACGAAAATTAATTAAAACGTGTCTTCGCCGTTTTTATCCGTTACACCAAGCAAACTCGTTTTATTTAGAATTCCCTTTGAACTTGTTCATGTCACCGGCGTCTACAAGACGGCTGCTTCTCATTAGCCCTCAACTACATCGCCGCCGCATGTTCTGTGCTTACCGCTTCTATAATTTCCTTGAAAGAAATCTAAGTAGTGCATGTTTACGTCCGTGATCTCCTTCTACCTACCACGCCATTGAGCGAGGTATTGTAGTAACGAAACGTTCAAAAAACGATGTGCACATCACGAAAATCATTCTTACATTTCCCCGCATATTTGTTTTCGATACGCGTCTCTTTCTGCTATCTGAGCTCACCGCCCGGCGTGGCGGTCTGCTTGATTGCTCTGCTCACACTGCGGCGGTGTCGGTGGGCGCTCGGGTACGGCAAGTGACAGCGTTGCCAGATGGGCGGTAACTACCGGTAGGGAGGGAAATAAAAATCATGTTATTAAGTTTTTATGGAATATGTTTGTACATTTGTACTCAAAGCGGTACATTCATTACTGTATACTGTATCTAGGATTTCATGCACCTTTTTTACAACACTTGTTAATTCGCTTCTGACACAAATATACTAAATGACATATAAATCCGAACACCCAGTTTAAACGGTTTTATTTTAATAAAATTTTGTATAAGTACTTAATGAAACATAATAAGTAAATGATAAAAATTTCAAAATGATTGCACTGCTTTAAAGCCCTTTGACCTTTAATAATGTGTGGATGCACGCTGATGTGCTACGCATTCTCCAACGCGCCTAGGCATGCTTCTGATCAGGTGGTTAATGTCCTCCTGTGGTTATCTCATTCCAGGCAACCACCAACTCCTCTCGAAGTGCTTCTAGAGTCTGATGAGGACGTTGCAAATTGAGCAATCTCCTACCCGTCATATCCCACACGTGCTCAATTGGGGATAAGTCGGGAGATCTTGGTGGCTATGGTAACAATGTGACATCATTATGTTGAAAGAAGTCTATTGTGACTCTTGCAACATGTGGTCGGGCATTATCTTGTTGGAAAGTTGGATCTGCCAGGGGGTGTCAAGATAGGGTAAAAGATGGGGTTCTAGAACTTCGTGGATATAACGCTGCGCGTTCATGTTACCTCTGATGAAGATTAAAGGTGATCTGGAACCATAAGCTATAGCACCCCAAACCATAACTCCAACAGTGTGATGAACATGTCTTTCAACAAAAAACTGTGGATTCCTCCTTTCACCACGTCGCCTTCTAACCCTGGCACGACCATCGTGCATGCCTAAACAAAATCGAGACTCGTCACTAAAGACAATACTGTTCCAATCCTGATCCCAGAGTGACCGTTGTCTGCACCACTCGAGGCGATTACGTCGGTGTTCTCGAGTTAAAGGGAGGACCCAGTGTGCCGGTATGAAAACAAGCCAAACTTCTCATTCGTCGGTAAACACTTCGCATGCCAATAGGTCTTCCGTGTTCTGCAAACCATTCATTTGCAATGGACCTGGTAGTGGAGAAACGGTCCCTTAAGGACCAATAATCTTAGGCGGCGATCTTCACGGTCTGTTTATTCTACGGCGGCGTCCAGTGCCCCTTGCTCTTTGCGTACGGCCTTCTCGAAGCCATGCCTGACAAACCTAACCACAGTGTCTA